AGCTGACCCGTTTGGTTTGCTCCTGGTGACTGACCTGACCTGAATCGTGCCCAAACCAAGCATCGGATTGGACGGTCTCATGGATCTCGGATCTTTGGTGCTTCTAACTGGCGATCAGCCGGAAGAAACGCCATGATTTGCTTCAACCGCTTGGTCTTCAGTCCAATGGTCCCATCAGAACATGCGACCGGGGCGACTAGGACACAAGTGCTGTAAATGTTGGCGCTGCCTTCTGGGTTCAAGGGGTAGGCTAAGGGCAGTCTTGCGATGCGATAGTGCGACAAGTCATGATCGTGAGAGTCAAATCAAAAAGAACTACAAGAGTTGACTTCCAGGTTTTTTATGGTCAAGTTGTAACTCATTATTTGAGGTCCTCTTGAACTTATTATTTGAGGACTCTAAGTTATAGAAGATCACTTTGTCCAGTTACCTTCTCCAAGCAGCTTCTTTTTTCCAGGAACTAGTTCATCTCCAGCCCGCAACCATTGTGTGGTTGGGGTGTGTATTTGAGTGCTTTCGCCGACGAACAAGGTGTGCGGTGGATTGGCAGCCCTTGTCCAACTGCATCTCCTTCCAACAGATGGTGCAGCAAATGATGCAGCCATCCTTCAAAGACCCTAGGCAGCAGATCTCGATAATGGAAGGGTGCTGGAGGCCAAAATGTTTGGGATGCCTTCTTGCCACAGGCAATCTCGAGTCCGCATGAACTTTGTTAGGTATGTAACTGTGTGGTTAGTGTGGTTCCAACTTGAAGAGCCCAAAAATCCCGCTCCTCTTCCCAGGAGCATGTTTTGGCCCGACCCTGGAGCCCCCCGTGGAACTATAGGCAAGGCACTGTAGAACCACATCATCACCGGCATCACCAAACCCTAGGGCTCCAGTCGCCTTCTGCGGGTGTTTGGGGTGGGATTGGAGGGTCCAAATACCTTCTGAGGAGGTACTTGGAGTGCTAGGGATTGTTATTCCTGCCAACCATTGCCGTCCACAGAAAGACCCCATCCACGGAGGTCCGACCTAAGATTGAGCAGGCGGGTGTTTATTTATGCGACGAACGTTCGGACAAACGTGATGACGGTCAAGGGGATTTGGTTGCACTTCCATTTGGCAATTTGTTCTGTTGTTCTGAAGTCAGTCAACTTTCATCACTGCACTGATGAGCCTTGCTTGCTTAGGAACTCAAGTTCTGAAATGTTCTGAAGATTCCTGCAGTTATTGCATGTGATCACTCCCATCAGCCCTTATTGATGTGAGTCTGTCTCAGATGGTCCATGCTGAGACAGCGACGGAATGATCCTTTGATCGGTTCACACCTCACCTTAAACTATAGTACCTTTGCCACCTTTGCAGGAGGTAGCTTTTGGCCTGGTAACCGACTGTTCTTTTAAAATGATCAGTAAACGGTGTTGGGTGACTTAAACGTGTACATATATATATATATACGCTGCGTATAAATATAATACATTATATGCCGTAACTACGTCTTGTGCTACAGAATTCGTTGCATGGGCATGTGAAGCCTGAATAAGGATTGAATAATCCTATTCGAGTTCTGTTCGACTGCTTCCTCGAAATCGGTCGATCCTCGAACTCGGGAGCTCGTCAGTCCGTGACCGTTTTCACCACATCACCGCACAGCCTCCGGTGGAACGACCCACCTTCCCCACCGGAGCGGACGTCTGGAGGACGTCAGCTGGTTCGCCCACGGACCGTGACCCATTCATCACCAGCTCTTGTCGGGGATACGTATCAATAACAATAAGTGATTCGAAACATTTCATGGTAAGAATAAGCTATTCATGATGTCAATCATGATTAATTTATTGTTCTTTTTGATGCCCTGGCCCTTTTGTGACAGGTCATGATGCACGAGTGGTGGAGGTCTGCCGGAAAGGACCGGGGACGAGTCAGACCCGCCTCTCGACAGGCCGACGGCTTCGTTGAACTGTCCGGTGACCAGTTGGTGCTGCCCCCGCAAGTGGCTGGATGGTTTTCAAGTCTGAAACCGTGATCTACAGCGGTTAGGCTACGCCACAGTAATTGTTGGGGCTCAAGCCAGCTAAGTCAGGGGTTCCTTCGGCGCTCCCCTATCCAGCAACTCACATCATCTACAGTATCATCTACTAGTCTGGAAAATCTTCTTCTTCATTTTGCAACAGCAAAGCCCAACGAACTACGACTACCCATGGGAGGGTTGTCCTGCCCTTGCCCAGGAGGTCACTAGCCCTAAGGCTGGCGGCTGGGCACCGTCGGGCAGAGAAAGACAAACACATGGTACGTGACTAGAGGTGACCGGATGAGCTGGCTTGCCAGGAGCCAAGAAAATACAAACCAAGTCATCAAACCCTGCATGAGCTGGGTTTCAGGAACTTGCCTTTGAACAGAAGATGTCCTTTTGGCCACCTGAGTTTAAAGAGGAGTTCCACACATTTCGACCTCTCCTTTTTGGACCGCGAGGAGCTGGCTGAATGACTGCAGAGCCACAAAATGTGGGTACTTCCTCCAGAGCTTACATAAACCCATGACACCACGGTGGTCGTTGGCTGAACAGATCTGTTCCACCTAACCCTGTGGCCTATATGCCACCACGGAATGGGCGCCAAACAGCTGGCTTCTGGGAGGCCAAGGCCTCCAACAACCCTTTGGAGAGGCGTTGGGGACCCCAAAATCATATGTATTCAGTTCATACCTCGTAAGATCTCTCTTCAGCACCCTGAGACGGGTCAGGGCATGTCGGAGCTGAGCAAGATCAAGCCAACGAGCCTGGGCAGCAGCAGCACGGATTGGGAAAGAGATGGATCTCAAGATCCATCAACATCGATAGGCATTCTTATTCAAATGCCATTATGAAATAGCATCTCTGGGTAGTGCCTTCCAAGTGAGGGATCCTTTAGACGAGACGTATTTTTTTGTTTTCGCGACTTTGCATTGCATGTTCCGGGACTTTCAGAAAGCCCACCCGCCCCTTCGCTTGGGCGTGACCAGGAGTGACCTACATCGAGCCCTGATGATGGACATGGTGAACCGCGAAAACCTGACCCATTTGAAGGACGAAAAACAAGCCACCAAAACAGAGCAGGTGTAGGATGGTGTAGGTGCAAGCACCTCACTTGCTTTAAGTACTCGGACCGACGACGGCAAAACATGAGACTTGCACCCTGCGACTCACATACAATACATTGTCACATGGAAGTGGATAGCTACCTGTCAGAACATTGCCTTCCCACGGGCAGGTAGTGTCCAATGGAGGTCCTTTAGTGGTGTAGGGGCTTCCAGCCAGGTGGCCCCTTTGAAGGTGCTGGTACGGTATGTTAACATAACTTATTAAGTTATACTGACTTGGAGAATCAGTATACGCCAAGAGCTCAAACAGATCTAGAAAGGGATGCCGAATGAAACCCAAACACGAGAAACGCATGTTCGAAGCCGATGCCGATGTGCCAACGTGGTATGCCGACAGTAGGGGCGGCTTGCCTCTGAGACGTTCTCAAAAGGTAATCATTCAAACACCCCTCAACGGGAAGTTCTGTGGAAGATTCTGGTAGATGTAGGATTGTGGGTGCTCGTTGAATTGGAATGTATTGAACGCGCGTCCACGCTGGCAGGAGCTCAACGATCTTTTTGTGGCCTGGCGGAGTGTCATTCCCCAAAGGTTGATGTGGCCGTGGATCAAAACCGGACCGGAGGACCCTGGTTGACTACCAAAAATGAAGAGAACAGGCTGACGACTAAGAAGGTCAATCCACCAGGGTTTAGAAAATGGGCATGTTAAAGAGTTGGAAGGCTATGCACCATGAGAAGCCAGGGAGCCTCTAGGTCTCTGGCTTCTTGAAACCACTGGTGACCTGCTGGTGCATTTACCGAATCGACCCTCCATATTTCGGGTGCCTGCTACAAAAACGCGACGCTTGAACTACATGCCAGCCGACCAGGTTTCTGTTTGTTTGCGCGGCATGTGAGGATGCAGGAAGCAGCATGCTCCGTTGGTTTTCTCGTCAAAATCACCAATTTGCCAATCAACGTGTTCGTGCATTTGCAAAGCAACCTCCACTTAGAACGAGGACCATATACATCCTCGCCAACCAGCGACGAGCCAAGAACAAGGACCCCTTGTTGAGCCTTCGGGCAAAGGCCCAACCTCTTCAACCAGCCAGGGGTGAGGTCTCAACACTATCCAAAACCTATTTGTTTGGGGGTCCCCAACACCTATCCTCCCCTTCATGTGTCCCCCAACTTATCCGGCTATGTGTCCCCCTCTTCCGAGACCTCCATGGACGCAGACCACAGTGGTGTGGTCACTGAAGCTGAAGCCAGACAGGCCACATTGGCAAGGGAGAGATGCTCTCTCTCTCTCTCTCTTTTTTTGGTTGTTGGGGGGGTATTCGCTCGCACGTTTGGTCAGTTTGGGGGGGGCAGATTTGGTGAGTGTATATATATACTGTATATAGACACACATAATTGCAGGCGGACGGTTTCCCTTTTTTCACCGTTTGTGGCGATTTTGCTTTTTGTGCGAGGGAAGTCCCAAACCTGGACATGACCGCAGGCGTTGAAAACCAAGATGCCGCCAGCGCGGCTGCCAAGAGCGGGCGCAGAAGAGCGAGTGCAACAAGGGCATCGGAATGCAAGTAGTTGGTACGCTATGGTGCGCTCACAAGTGGGTGATCAATGGGCATAGTTTAGGATTCTGGAGATTCTGGACAGGCCTTCTCAAATACACACTGCACAACACTTCCTGGAGGGCATATGACATACGGGTCCTCACAACAGCTCGAGGAAGTGTTTAGGACAATCATGCCAAAGGAACCCCCCCGTTGTCCAGAGGTCAGTATTAAGCGGGCCACATGTCCCATGTCGGACACTGCATCTCGATCTCAGTGGTTCAGGATGTCGGGAATGTGGCATGAATTTGTCAACTTTGCAGATTCACTAATTACTTGAAAAAACACACAGCCGATTCTCGACGTGACCATTCTGACATATTCTGACCATTCTCCTCCCCCATGGCCGCACAAAGGCCGGCCTTTCCCAGCGCCTCCCTCGGGAATCAGGCAGAGCTCGATGAATTCGTGAACACCTTGATGGGTTGCAACCTGAGATTTGCCAAAACCGCTCCAAACAAGAGCTGGAGAGTGCTTCTTCTTGTGGTGATGGTTCCTTTTCCACAGTGGTCGTTGGTTATGTTGGTTTGATTTTTGGTGGAGAAAGGATTTGTTTAATGCTCTCCTCCGGTTGTTGATGTTTGAGGCATGCGTGTCTCCAGGCCACCCAATTTGGCTTCAGATGTTTCCCTCGTTTCGGGAGGAATGGATTAATTTTTACATGTGCAGAAGCTGCAGTTCATCGTCCCAGTCAGTTTGGGATCTCCCAGGTTCAAACCGCCAAGTGACTTACAGTCAATTCATGGCTGAGATGATCGCAGCCAAAAAGGTGCGGGCCACCGCAGCCAAATCTGCACGGCGCTTGCGGGCCACCAAAGCTGCTTCACGTGATTAGGTGATATTGGGTGATTCCATTCTTACACGTGGCATGCTTTTCTCTTTTACATCTCCCTCCTCAAATCTAACTAGCAGGAAGTAGGTGATGTGGAATGAATAGAACTTGAGTCGGTGGTGTGTGTGTGTGTGATTGTGTGTATGTGTGTTGTTGATCTCCGATCCGGTGCTCAGTTTGGTGTCTTATGTTCGTCTCACAAGCTTTCTGGATTCTCACGCTGGCCCATTTGGTACTAAAGCCATGTCAAGACTCCTTCCTGCCTTCCCCATTCTCCCCTTCGATAGATAGGGCGCCAACATGCGCCAACCCCAAGGTTTTTCTTCCAGTCTTCAAAATGGTGGCAATGAGTTTAAGCTAACATCCTCCACATCTCCAAGTTCAGTGTCCCTTTGGCCCCGTTTTCGGGGCCAGGGGCCCAGGAGATCTGGGAATGCCCCTCAAATCAGCACTGTGCGACCTATGTTGACCGTTCTGACCTTATTGGTCCTATTATGGCAGGCGGACAATGACGAAGTGCTGCACCTTGGCTGGTCTCATCATCCTGCAGCTTGGGGTTTGGGGCGTAGCAGGGCGTAGCAGGTCGAGTGTTCCAAACCCGCGATTGTCATATTGTCTTTTAGCCGTGTCTCCTCTTGAGCCAAGTTGCTTCTCTAGACAAGTCATCCAGTCGAACGTTGGAAATCAAAGGTGTTGGCCTCCAAAGAACCTCCCCTTTTTTGGCACTTCAGCCAGAAGTCCAGTCATTCCAAGCTCCAGCCCATGGATAGATTCAACACCGCTTGACGGTTTTGGGCAGAATCTACCATGAGGGTTTTGGCAAAGGATTGAATATGTTCAGGCCCTTCTTTTTGAAGTGCTATGTTTATCGTTCTTCCATGTTCTTCCTAATGAATCCAAAATGTGGTCCTCGTTGAAATCTGACGGATCTCGACATCTACATTGGCTTCTCTTAGGTGGCGGATGTTCAAGGAGTTGGATTCCGATAACAACAACTCCTTGGATGCCAATGAGATCCGGGCTTGGCGCTTACCATCCGCGCGTTACCCTTCGCGCAGGGCTTGCTCAGATGAGTCAAACATGGGGCAAAGAGCAACACGTGTCATCACATCAGTTCGTATGTTCGTTCCTTGGAACGATCCACTCCAATCCGGGCTGCTTTTGGACCTTTATCTTTGATCGGCCTGGGCCTCGACGGCTGAGGCCATGCTGCAAAAGCCAAAGGTCCGGGAAATCATGGCCGACCGCTTCTTGGCATGAGCATCTTGTGGAACAGACCCAGGCCGACCCCACGGGGTCCACGGGGAGTGGCCCCAACACCCAAGGATGGAAGAGAGAAAGGTCGGGGACGGCCCAGTCCCTTAAAAACCGTGGAATCCGGTGTATCGGGCCCCCAGATGTGGCCGGGCCGTGAAAGAAACGGCCAAGGTCGATGTGGCCAGAGAGTTGGAACATGCACGGTTTGGAACATGCACGGCGACCGGCCTCGTCCTTGGATCCTTTTGGCACTTTTGAATTGTACTGGATAGTGTCAAGTCCTTGGTTTTTCGTCCACACCTGAGGAGTCCCTAGCAAGTCAGTGACAGGGCACCCATGATTTTTGTCAATACAGGGGAGGAGTTTTGTGAGAGTCTGAGTGTTTGGAAGACCTGGTTTGATTTGATCCTGGCACCATCTTTTGAGTTCATCACCCATCGTGCTGGTGGCTTGGCATTTCGCTTGGCTAGCTTCTTTTCGACCTCTCGACGAGGAGCACCCTGTGACCCAAACAAGGCGACAAAAATTGGCCGATGTCGCACGTCCCACATGGTTTGCTTAAAAAGGCAACGATCAAATGCAGTGATCCTTAGTAAACCCATGTAAACGCCCTATTTTAGCCAACCTCGTTTCATCTCGATTTCCTTGACGGCTTGGAGGAAAACGACCACCCGCCACCCCATGCAGAAGTCGAAAAACCGCGGACGTGATCCAGCGGCGCGCCGGTCCGAAGGCACCTTGTCGGAAGTGATGGACCGAATGAACCTCAAGAGCACTGGGCATGTTCGGGGCCCCATGGGAACACCGTCGGTGGGTCATATGGTGTCATAAGGGCTGCTGGTGTTGCAGGCATCAGCGAGGGAGTTGATATCAGTTAACACATGTTAACACTAAACAGGACAAACAGTAGGGCAGGTGAAACGAAAAGTCATCGGCCTTTCAGAGAAGATGTTGCAAGAGGAGGGAGGGATGGCGAAGCACAGGCAAGAGAGGAAGCTAGAAACCTGAGACGTGGCATGTTGATTGAATTCGATCACCTTTTGTCATCGTTGGTGCGTCCGGTTGGAGGCCATCGCTAGTAGGTTGGAGGCAGTTTGTTTCAGTTTTGGGGAAGGCCACCTCCATGGCTCCGCCTGGCTCCGCCTTAAGGTGAGCTTCCAGGATTTCAAGCGGGCGCTCGAGACCGCGGACAGAGGGTGGAGCAGACTGGCTGCGGTGGCACGGGCAGGGCCTGCACGAAGAAACAAGCAAGGCTGAGCAGAGGAGTAAAACTGACTTTACCACCTAAGTAGCCTATGCTTCATATAACATCATATAACTTAAATTAACTTAACTATGGCTTGTCTTGAGGCTCGACATGGTTCGACAGTTCGACACTTTTTGGATCCTGCAGATTTTGCCGAGCCCTCTGACACTGGCATGAGTACTGACACGTTATGCCTGCCGTCAAGAAGCTTCGCAGTGTCCGCACCGCTTCATTTCTCCACCATGGCACCGGGTGAATCTGGGTGAATCCGGGGAAGTTCTAAACTCAGCAGAAGAAACTGCAGTACCGAGCGAAGGACATTCTCGCGTTTCAGACGCCACTTTCACACGTGTCATCCACTGAATCCAGTCCGGACACAATGAAGGCTCAATAAAATCGTTCAAAACACACACATATACATGTAATTATTTGTAATTTGAATATAGTATTATATGTTTTATGCATATATAGTAATATGCATATTTGTTTGCTCACATAAGTGTTTACGTAAAGTATTCACTATGCTTGATTGGTCATATGTTATCACGTCCGGCACATGACTGAGAACTCTGCACACTCAATCTTCACCGACCGGCGGCAATCATGGAGATTTGCAACTACAAGGCGCTAGAACGCATCATCGACAAGGGATTTCTCTCACCGCTGAATCAGCTCAGGAAGGTGTGCAAGCAACCTTGGTGTGATTTTGGTTCAGATTTCCCACATGGCAAACCGCATCCTGTTTCAACATGTGCTTATGATAGTTATGACAAATCAGATATGGAGTACGAGCAACCAGCTAAAGTACAGCACTGAAGTCTCTAGCATGAATTAGCTAGTAGCTAAACGGTAAACTCATGATTGAGCTTCGTGGGGCTTTGGCTAGCTTGACTGTTTCTTTCTTAAATACCTTGCACCACCCCCCAAGAAGGTATGTTGAGTACATTCCAAGCTTCACGGCCATCATGTCCAGTACGCACCTCCCCAAACAACCACAATGAGGAAAACCATCATCTCCCAAACCCACTGTGAGAAGGGCCAACTGTTTGGCCGAGTGCCCAGGCAACTGCAGGGGCCCTGTGAAAGAAGGCAACAGCTGGAAGTTCAAGACCGGCTAGCCGTGATTCACACCGAAGCAAGCAGACTTCTAGAACTGCAAGGAGTTGAAGATGAAGATCTGTGGGATTTCATGTGGGATTGCAGGCGAAGCACTCAAGAGGCTTCCAGGATCATGGAGATGTCTCCATGGAAGCGTGCCATCGCGGATCATAGAGCAAACTCGGTAGTGATGGGTGGCAATCCCTTTGAGATTTTAGAGCTCATCTATCAAATCGTGGAAGGGCTAGTTTGTGGCCCCAACAGTCATGAGGAACTTCAGGAAGGCTTGCGGAACATCATCACTGCAACGCGCAATGCCGAGCAGTTGCTGGAAGAGACGTTGCCAACGCGGCCCGTGGTTGGCAGCTTGGCAAGCCATAAGCTGCGCATTTGTCTACCATACCATACTGTACCAACCCTTTGCTGGCAGATGTGCTGTAAGATACTGCAAGTCCATAATTCGAGGACATCCATCTAGGACAGTTTTATACTGAGGGTCCTACTTTGGGGTGTGTTTTTTTAGTATTTTTTCCCCCCGTTGACCTGGACATCGTTTTGGCCAGGATCTGAGACAGCCTCATTTGCCATTACAGCGCGAACCACTGCGGGCACCGCTCAAAACACTGCTGAGGACATTGCCTCAAGTGTTGCCCTCGATGCTATGGCAGAGGCTTGGACCCTTCCTGAGAACATGCTAAGCGGTGGCCAGCTTGCACAACGACAATGCCTTGAGCAGCAGCTGCTTGAGCTGCAAAACAATGATAGCAATGCAAAGGGCTGAAAACATTGCGGAGGTGCTATTCTCACTGGGTGAAGTGACCGGTCAACAGAAAGACCCAAAAGCCTTGGAGTATCTGAAAGAGGCGTCTGAGATGTATCGGTCACGGTCTGACCGACCCCGCTTGGCCGCTGCCCTGCGAGAGCTTGGGAGCCTCACAGCTCAGATAAAGGGTCCCCAGCCAGCAATGCAGCATTTGCAGGAGTCGTTGGAGCTCCTGCAGCCTCCGTGCAGTGGTGACAGTCGGCAATTTGCGGCCACTCTACGCGCGCTGGGAACAGTGACTGCACTGAATTCAGATTTCAAGAAGGCAATGGAGTATTTTGAGAAATCTTTGGAGTCGTGCCCTCAAAACGACTGTGAGGACGTTGCACACACTCTGTACGAGCTTGGTCGTGTGACTGCAGAGGCAGGAGATCCAAGCAAGGCAATACCACTGTTGGAGGAGTGCTTGCGAGTGAGGCGCTCCTTGCAGGCTGAGCCGCGTTACATTGCGGCCACTTTGCGTGAGCTGGGAAAAGCCACACACCATGCAGCACGACATGCAGAGGATCTTCACAAGGCACTGTGCTATTTGGAGAAAGCCTTGGAAATGAAGCGCTCCATATATCTGGATGGCCCTAGCCCCGGCACAGCAGAAACGCTACAGGAGCTTGCTAGTCTGCGAGCGGCACTGGGACACCTTCCAGAAGCGGTACAAAGCCACAAAGAATCCTGCTAATGCAATGGTGCATGAGGCGCTCCATGTATGGTGATGGCCACCCTGACGTTGTGGCTGCACTTCATGAGCTTGAACAAGTGAACATGAGAGCCCCGGCCATCCTTGCACACCGGCCCGGGCCAGCCAGCCCTCATAGATCGGATGAACGGAGGGAGCAACGAGCAGCTGAGCAGCTTGGCTTGCCACTGATGAGTTCCTGATCAAAAACAACAGTTCATGGCATTTGCCTAAGGGTAATGTAGTATATTTTATAGTGGTCATCAGTGGACATTGGCACTTTTTTCAATCAAGTTGGCTCAGTAATTAGGCGAGCTCAGCTCGCCAGTTGCTTCCCACCATGAAGGACCGTTGCATCCGTTTTGCCCACATGAGGGATGATCAATGGTAGGTGTGGCTTGGCGTGAGGGTTTAGGAAGACTGGGCCACCACGAGTGCTGCGAATATGGCCAAATAATCCCCTCGTGGAGGCTGGAATTCATCGACAGTTCCTGCGCAGCCTATAGGAAGGACATTTAGAAAAACAATGAAACACATTGCTACTGTAGGATGTAGTACTGGTAGAGGGCTTTCAATCTCATGGTTAATGCAGGACGTCTTCCGTCAACAGATCAGAAGTGTCGCAACCCAGACGAGAGCTCGTGGTGCAGTTAGGACTTGCCACGCACGAGGCATTCGTTTCCGGCCCTGCATACGGAGGCAGATCTCAAGCTAGCACACAAATGTAGACTTGAAGTAGGGCTTGGCTGTGTGACCTGCACAAACGACGAATTGATTCTGTCAATCCTTCAAGGTGTTGCGAGGTCCGACGCTTCCAAACAGGAGTTTAATATATAGTTTCAGGGTGCCCAGCGCCCATGACCAACCTGACATTTGCAACTAACTTGACTTTGACTGGCCCAAAGATTTGGCTTCTTATCACGCAAGCAGCAGTGGCAGCATTTGATCTACTTGGCATCGCTTCTGTCAGCGACCTGGGCAATTCATGTCCCAGCCCAGCAACGGAAGTCGCATCACGTCGCATGTTCTTAGTGCGCCTGCCGGGCCTCAGATGGGCCCAGCGAGCCGAGCTCCGCCAAGCGAGTGCGCACTGGGAACGAAAAAGATGGCGGTCGCAGCCAAGACGCTGAAATCATTTACAGTGGGTTCAGAGTAGATGGCAC